GTAGGCCAGTTCAGCCCTTGTGGTGGCAGTTTGGGAGAACCAGTGAGACGGGAACTCCAATTCCACCACACAAGCACCCAGAGATGGCTGCAAATACAATGAAGGCAAAGGCTGTGATTGGCCCTAGGAAGGGTAGAAAGGAATCCTTCTCCATTGGCAGAAAAACCTAAGCTGGAGAGGTCTATGAAAGGCAGAACCAAAGATGTTTCCCATGTGCCACAATAAACTAAGGACCCACCAAGTCTAGGGCTCAGAATACTGTAGGTCAAGCAAAATGGGACAATCTTGACCACATCCAAGAACCTACCTAGAGCCCAGAATATCAGAGCAAGAAACAGACCTCACCAGCGGGTCTTTGGGCCTGACTCCACAATCTACGCACAAAGGCTGATGGCTCTGTTACAGTGACTCTTACATTTGTCTCATTTATTTCTTTTCCAGCTCCCAATAGGTGGGAACTGTTGTCAGTCTGTTTTACAGATAAGAAAAACAAACAAACAAACAAACAAACAAACTGAGCCTTAGAGACATTAAGTTATGTGCCCAAAGTCATGCCCCATGGACTGATATCCTCAAGGGAACCTCTCCTAGGGCTATCAGGAACCAAAACGGAGTCGGGTGGCTCATGCCCCTAGACTTCCCAGACTGTAGTACAGTCCTGTCCTCTCCACCCTGGCACCACACCTGCATGGTGCAGCAGCAGAAAGAACTCACTCACCTGGAAACGGCAGGCTTGGTGGGCCGTGCCTGCAGGGTGTGTGGCATGCAGTCGGGCACAGGGCAGGCTGCCAGGCCCTGGTGGCCAATCCTGCCCTTTGAGGTAGAAGAGGACACGGGCATAAGGCTCTGCTGGGGTCACAGCTGCTTCCACTGAAACAGCACGCACATCCCAAGGGACAGGCCGCCGGTGGGGCTCAGTGACCCTAGGAGGGACCACCTGAAAAAGAGCAAGGATGCTCAGCTGCAGGATAGGGAGGAGAGGCAGATAACACGATGGCCAGGTATGGGAAGGTGGGCTTCTAATCTCAGTGTAGCAGGAGATTAGGGGGCCTCAGTCTTCCTGTGTAGGGAATGGGAAAAGCCATGCCACCTCGATGTGCCCAATCTTGCCTGGTTTCAGGAGTTAAGCAGGATTGGGCCTGATTAGTTCTTAAATAGGGGAATAAGAGCCCAAACAACAGAACACATGAGTGTCATTTGCCTGGGAGTCCCTGGGCCCTATCCTTACCTGCTGAGTGGCAAAAGGTGGGTAGGAAGCCCGGAGAAGTGGCTGTGCCCTGGGCCAGGGCTGCAGGAGCAGGAAGGTCTCAGAACGGGAGCCCAGAGAAGAGTTAGCAGGTGGGTAGTGGCCCACCTGCTGCACACGAAAATGCTCGGGGGCATCCAGGAGTTCCAGGGCCACTGGCAGGTAGATGGGGTCCAGGGTGTCTTGGTTACTGCCAACTGAAGAGGAATAAGGGGTAGATATGGGATGGCTCTGGAGCTAGCGGAGATTGAACTGAGCTCCATCCTCACTGTGGGTCTGGGTTGGAGAAGGGGAAACTACAAATGTGCTGTCTCCCAGATGTAGAGGAATAATCCCATTTCACAGATGAGGTGACCAAGGTTCAGGGAGCCTCACAATGAATTTGAGAACCAGGGATTGGAAGTAAACTTCCCAGCCATTCTTTCTACCTTTCACAGACCTTGCCTCTCTCTCCAACAGAGCCTGTTTAAAATCTCCCCTACATGTTCGTACTACCCACCTGCCTCAGATACCAGGTATTTGGAGGGCAGGACTCCTGCACTGGCATCTATTCAGTAAAAGTCAGACTGTGAGTCGAGCTTTGTAGGAAAGGAGACTTTTGTTGTGTCTGGGTCCTTTGGTCCAGTTATTGCCATGGCACACCCACACCAAATATCCAAACTTGATCCCTTCTTCCCTGCCCCAGTTGGGGGTTGGGGGTCGGGGGTCGGGAGTAAGACGTGGGGAGGGTACCAAAGAGGTCCATGAGGCTCCTGGCACTCACTAAGGGTGGGAACCATAAGCCTGAGGAGATGGAATATTCAATCATAAAAACACAAAGGCCCACTAAGGCTATATTGATTTGTACTACAGTCCCTAAAGAGTAACAATTTCTAAAGCACTTAACCCCACACAGATTCATTTTTACATGCATTAACTCTTTCAGCTCTCACACAGTTCTGTGGATTAAGTTCTATTACTACAATCTCTACTTAATGGATTTAGAAACTGATGTGTGAGCGTTCTCCAACCTGTGGTAGACCTGAGAAACTAGCGAGGAATTCACTGCCAGGTTACCCAGCCTTTCCATCCAATGCAACAAACACCATTAAGCCACATGGGCTTCACCCCCTAACTGTGCCTCTACCCTCCTTTAGGGTCAAGAGCAAACGGTGCCTCCTTGAGAAAGACTTCTGTGATCATTTAACCCCTTGCTAGACACCTTGTTCTGGCTCTGCTTGTTGCTACTGCCTTTCTGAGATCGGGAACAATCCTCACGTGTCTCCAGAGTGCCTGGAACCACAAGTACAGACGATGTGCCTGGCTCTGTCTTAACTCATTCTGGAATTCCCTCAACTCTCCCTGGAGAGGTTTCCTGGGAGCCCAGAGAGCTGACTTCATGTCCTAGCTGTACTCCAGGAAAGACTGGCCAGTCACCAATATCTTGGAGCCTAGGTTTCCTCAGTGGAAAAGGGGGTGGGAGTATTTCGTGACCCCGTGGGCAGGAAAGGGCTTTGTAAATTGCTGTAGAATCCCATGGGAAGTGAGATTCTTGGTGAGCAGAATGGCTGTGACAAAGCTTCCCTCCCTCCCCTCACTGTGGAGGGGTTATTAAGGCTCCCACTGGGTCTGCAGGTTGGGGAGCAGGTGCCTGAAACAAGTTCCAGAACCAGCTCACTCTCAGCCACACAGCTGAGCTGGGATGGGGAGGGGGCGGGGATCTTCCCTAGAGCTACCATCACCACCCCCATATCCCTGAGGGTAACAAGTGAGTGACTGCCGGCCCCCGGGATGACTCTGGTCCACCTTCTAATTCACTGCTTCCATAATTACAAGATGCTCAGTAGCCCAACTCCCACAGGCTCCCATGGTGTCCCATCATTGGGAGTCCAGCTCTCTTGGTGGGGCAGGAGGATAGGATGCTCCACCATCTTCCAGTCTCCCGTAGCATATTCCACCTTTCAGCCCTAGCTCGTGTCAGGCACGAGGTAGCTGCTGCCCCTTACCCAGTGATGGGTACACCCACAAGGGCTCGGAAAGGCAAAGGCTGGGGCTCTCCCTGAAGACTCCAAGGTCAGAGATCTCCTTGGGACAAGGAGAGAGACGCACATCTCTCGGGTCCCAGGCAAAGGGGCTGTTTTGCATTCCTGTGACTCGCGGGCAGGCTGGTGGGGGCTAAAACAGCAGGTTAGGGAGGGGTGGTGCACTGGGAAGAGGGTTAGAAGCCGGGGCTGGAGAGGAGGCTTGCAGAGGAGTTGGGACCGGGCAGGTGAAGATGGGAATGAGAAGACTTTAGGCTCAGGTAGCAGTATCCAGGTGGTGCCCAGGGAAGGCAAAAGAGCAGCTAGCTGGGAACCGGTTTCCCAAGGTTGGATCTCTCCAAGACACCTCTCTGGGTTTAGTTCCAGGGCCCAAAGGCTTAGGGGCATCTCTGGCGCACGGCCTCGGC